TTACGGCGAGTCAGCTTAATGTGGGAGGAAAGCCCGAAGTGATGCAGGTCTCTGACGTTTACCCTTTCGGTGAAACCCACGAGCACGGGCATGGTGTTGGCAAACCTTGAAACATAATCGGGGCGAACCGGGATTCGAACCCACAATCATAGGTTTCTGGCGTGCCCAAGGGACGCAACTCTGCACAGCAAATCACGGGGCCTTAGTCGACTGGGCCACCCGTTCCCCCCATAAAGGTGAAAATTACAGGTTGTTGAATATATTCATATTGAGGTGTATATGTATTAAGTTATTTTAAAGAAGGTTTCACCCTCTTCATTAGGTGTTTGCAGTGGCCAGAGGTTATTCATATACACATTGAATGCATTTATCACAAAAAACGTTATGTTGCTTTTTGTTCGTATGTTGTATTCATCCAAGAATAAGTGGTCGGGAAAAACTTTTTTTGGCTCCAGTCTGTCGAATCCTGAAACAGAAAAGTCGTATCGCCTAATAAGTAGTTATTGTGTTTATTGACCTGTGTCGGGGAAGCCATTGTTGTACCTGCCCCGAGGTCAGGTCAGTCGTCAATGAGTAAAGGTACAAGCTTTATACAGTAGAAGCAGCCTTGTTTATGTGCTAATGCTACTGGGCTGGGGCATGGGTGATCAAGGATTGTTGAATACAAGAATGAGGTTAATACCCTGAGTTGTGTTTCACGTGCTGGTTGTACGGGTGTGTATACTGTAATCGCCAAAGTAAATAACTCCATACTTGGCTTGATTTCGCAACACACACACACACACACACTCTCACACACTTACACACCAACACAGCCCCCCCCCCACACACACACACGCACATCTACACACACCACAAACACACACCTACACACACACCTACCTATACATATCTACACCTACACACACCTACCTACCCACACCCACACACACCCACACCCACACACACCACACACACACACACACACACACACACACACACACACACACACACACACACACACACACACACACACACACACACACACACACACACACACACACACACACCACACACACACGCACACACCACACACACACGCACATACCTACCTACCTACACCTACACACACCTACCTACACATATCTCCACCTACACACACCTACCTACACACATCACCACCTACACACCTACACACACCTACCTACACACACACACACACGCACACACCTACCTACACACACGCACACACACACGCACATACCTACCTACCTACACCTACACATACCTACCTACACACACACCTACCTACATACACACACACCTACCTACACACACACACGCACATACCTACCTACACCTACACATACCTACCTACACACACACCTACCTACATACACACACACCTACCTACACACACACACGCACACACCTACCTACACAAACGCACACACACACGCACACACCTACCTACACACACACACCTACATACATACACACACACCTACCTATACACACACGCACACACCTACACCTACACCTACACACACACCTACCTACACCTACACACACACACCTACCTACACACACGCACACACACCTACACACACCTACCTAAACACACACCTACATCTACACCTACACACACCAACCAACGAACATCAACACACACCTACCTACACACACAAGCACACACTTACCTACACCTACACACCTTCCTACACACACACACATCTACATCTACACACACCTACACCTACACACACACACACACACACGCCTACCTACACCGACACACACCTACACCGACACACACCTACACCGACACACACCTCACCGACACACACACACACACCTACACCGACACCTACCTACACCGACACACACCTACACCGACACACACCTACACCGACACACACCTCACCGACACACACACACACCTACACACACACACACACCTACACACACCTACACACACACCTACACACACCTACACACCTACACACCTACACACACACACACACACACACACACACACACACACACACACACACACACACACACACACACACACACACACACACACACACACACACACACACACACACACACACACACACACCTACACACACACACCTACACACACACACACACACGCACGCACACACACACACACACACACCTATGCTTCTAGGTTTGTCAGCACCATACCCGTGCTCGTGGGTTTCACCGACACGTCTGAGACCTGCATCACTTCGGGCTTTCCTCCCACATTAAGCTGACACGCCGTGATATAACTGGAATACTGTTAAAAACGGCGTTAAACCCAACTCACTCACTCCAACAGTAACATACATTTACAGACAGATGATTACGTCCTCTGTATTATTAGGTGTTTCTCGTCTCCATCCTTAAACAGCAGGATAGCGAGCAGTCGAAAAAAATGAAAATATAAAATGAACGATTTTCAGTAATTGTGTAATTTAAGTTATGACACTTTAAAGTTTAAAACACTTGATAATAGTCTTTAAATTAATTTAAATTCGAGTCACGAGAAAAGAATTTAAAATAGATATAGTTCAAGAAATATCTAGTTGACCAGGGTTTTTGTAATGCGTGTGCAATGGTAGGAATATTGTTATATTATACCGGGGCATAAATTTTACAGCGGCGGGAAATATTGTGGTTAAAAAAAACCTTTATATTATTTCAGATCGAACTGAAAATTCAAGGCGGAAAGGATATGGGAAATACAATCAAAAACTGCAGACAGCCTTTAATGTCGCACGAAGCTTTGTATGATCATATAGAACATCGGTACCGGCAGTGATGAATCCTAGAACAACGGAACCTCACGAGTCCGGACCGTATTTAAGTGCTTAATGGATCGCTTGATTCAGGAATCACTGGCATGGAGTCGTGTGCAGTGCATGTAGATTTCATAACATATTAGCCCGGAAGGAATACTTACCGGATTATGAAGGTTCGACTATATACGGGTTTTACTGTTTGTGGTATCTGTGCGTGAGTGGGTTAGTCGGGTTGTGGTGTTTTATGCTGAAGTACAGACGTACATGCATATAAACGAGTATCTCCGAGAATGGAGTTCACCAAATTTACCGCCCGTGGGGATTCAGGTGTGAATTGGTGATGAAATAGTCGACGTGTATCCGAATTGCGTGGTGCGATGTTTATAATGTTAATAACAGGATTATCTGGTCCTGTCTCGATTATTAACAGGCTGCCATCATATAGCTGGAATATTGCTAAGTGCGGGTTAGACAAACACTCTCACATTTTAGACGTGTGGGTATTAATTTCCCTTAGTTAACTAAAATTACCCACCTGACCCGGATTGTTACCACGTGATCAAAATTAGATGATAATGGTTACTGCTAGCAAAATAGATATTTCTTGAAAAGTGCACTTGAAATTTTTGTCATACCTAATCGGCGGAATGGCTTGTTTTCACTTAATAATTAGTAACACACATGCAGCTATCTTAACTAATTAATCATCGCGGTATTTCGTGATTCTGTTTAAAGTAGCGAGGACTATAGTACATGCCTCCACACACACGTGCATTCATGTCTATAGGTAGGTGCAATAATTTTGATGCCACGTTCAACCCGTGAACTGAAAGATCCATCTTCAATCCATGAAGTCTTTCTCTCTCTTTCCCCAGTTAAAGCCTCGTATTTGTTATATATACGCGTCACACTACTGTTAGTCAAGCGCCGTGATTGTTGCCTAGGCTTATGTGTATATACACAGAAAAAGCCTGGGCAAGTCTAGATCAAACTAAACCAAGTCTAGTTTCCAAACAGCAGAAGAGGAAAGGATCTTTTGAAGAAGATAAATTACAATTATTTTACGTTTTCATAGACTAAGTGTTAGTCTACATCACTGTGTCCTTCATCCAGTATGCACCCCGTGTATCAGCCTCCAGACTTTGAAATGTTAAATAATATACAGATAAAAGAGAGTTTACAACAACCAAGACTTGTTTGAGGGGTCGGTCGGGTAGCCTAGTGGTTAAAGCGTTCGCTCGTCACGCCGAAGATCCGGGTTCGATTCCCGATATGGGTACAATGTGTGAAGCCCATTTCTGGTGTCCCCCGCCGTGAAATTGCTGGAATATTGCTAAAAGCGGCGTAAAACCATACTCATTCACTTACTCACTCACTCAGGACTTGTTTGAGTGCGGGATGCGGGTTAGTCCTAGACCAGAACGCGCACGATGTACGAACTTAACAAAGTTGCAGTAAAATCCCATGGTGCTTGTGGTAGCCTGCAGACTTTATATGTGGTGATCGCACACAGTCGCCGAAACAACTGAACAAAGCTACACTCAATTTTATAAATATACAATGTACAATGTAGGTGTATATTGTGTAGTACAGTAAACTACGTTTATAACGAACACGCTTATAACAAACTGACGGATATAACGAACTGTTTTTGGCCCCGTCCGTTTGCTGTATTTATGCTGCCTATGTGCTTATAACGAACTACGGTTATTACGAACTAGTGGTCCCTTTAAGTTCGTTATAACCGTAGTTTGCTGTAGTTAGATGAATGACTATCTAATTCATAATCCCAGCGCAATGCGAGCTGATACAGCCTGAATAATCAATTGACCCCCGCTTCAGTCTGACGCGCCGTGATACAACTGTAATTCTGTTCTCACTCACGCTCCATAGTTTATTATTCATTCAGTTTGGTGTATATAATGTTCGTAGAGTATGCGTCTAGCAAATAAATCAATTATCGTATTGGAGTGGCCTACGAAAGCGTCCACTTTAAAAAAATCATGTAAAAACTAAAACCCCAAAATATATTGAAAACAATCATGCCTCTCATTTTGCGAACATGATACCACGTCATCATATTCGCCTTGGTCGTGGTCCTCGGTTTATAAGCGTCATGGCCGTGACCATTGTTTCAATGAGTGGTAATATCTACATCAAACATCAATTCACTCGTGTTTTTCGGCAAGCAAGTGACTATAGGTATTCTATTGATGGATCTGTTTTAGACGCGAATCAGAGGACATGTGAATGCCCTGCTACAAACGGATAGACACGTTAAACTAAACATGACCTACTTATAATCAACATAACACATACATTTAGTAAACATTTATTAACGTTCCCAATAGGGTCCAAATCTAGTGAACAATATCCCGTCAAAGATTCCATACGGGTCCCGGGGCAATGTCAATAACATTATGAAGTCTTCACAAGCACTTGTTGGCCGGAGTTAACACAGCTGAGTCAATAGCACTTTTCAACAACATGATTGTACATGTATACTTTGATATGAGAATAGAAAAATGTACAAATGTTAAATACGATTTCAAACGGTAGAACCCTAGTTGTATCAGTCCATTCGGTAGCCTCCTTTTAATATCAGTCCAATCGGTAGCCTTCTTATAATATCAGTCCAATCGTAGCCTCCTTTTAATAACAGTCCAATCGTAGCAACCTTTTAATATCAGTCTAATCGGTAGCATCCTTTTAATATCAGTCCAACCGGTCGTCTCCTTGTAATATAGGTCCAATCGTAGCCTCCTTGTAATACGGTCAAAGCGTTGTGGGGGTAATCTCGATTCAACGAGTTTCATGTTTGTGAAGTGTTAACACTGTAGTAACGTACGACTATGTTTGCATTCGAAATGTTCTGAAAATCTTCTTTGAACAATCTTAAATAACGGTTAGTTTGATCCCAACACGCGGAACAGATAGGATCGAGCTGCACAATCGTCTGTATCTCCTCTCTTGGAAACATAACCATGGACTGCAAAGTAGATAAAAATCTTCCAGTTCCCTCAGAAAAACGCCACAATCTTGGCATGTCTCCCCTCACAGACCACCCGCAGCAACGTCCGTCCCTCGGTATGTTCCCGCCATGAACTCGTCACGAAGGGGCGGCCATATCCTCACCCTTGACCATCTGACCAGTCCGATTTGACCACCAATGCGTTTCCGCCTGGAATAGATAATGACAATGTCAATTGCTTTATATTTCCCATCTTTCTTTTTATTGTTTGTAAATGATAAACGTGTCTCGCACCATTAGATACCGTAAACATAACATTAACATAATTAAATGAATGAGTGAGTAACGCCGCTTTTAGCAATATTCAAGCAATATCTCGGCGGGGGACACCAGAAATGGGCTTCACACATTGTACCCATGTCGGCATTCGAACCCGGGTCTTCGGCGTGACGAGCGAACGCTTTAACCACTAGGCTACCTAACCCCTAACATCATTAAGAAGAAATTACAGGCCTGGATCAGATGTTTACCACTACTGTCAGTATTATCACAACGGACAGAAAGTAATCGATTCTGAACCAGAAAAACAAGTGACAGAGTAATAGCAGCGATCATCAACATGGGGTATTGGGGATGAGGATGCTCTTAACATTGACAAAGAACTATTATAAAAAGTACCTAAGTGTACAATATCACCTAGTCTGTCACAAAGTCCCTAAACCATATTACTTCCCTTCCGCTCCGCTTTTACTGTAATAATCACAGCTCTAAATGAAGCAAGTCTACATTTTCCATAGGTTGTCAGCTCAGACCCTGAAACATTACATTCTTTCCCGCCCAACCCCTTCTGTCTTTCTATATAGCTCTGTAATGCAAAGGCCTAAATGAAGCAAGTCTACATTTTCCATAGGTAGTCTGCTCAGACCCTGAAACATTACTTTCCCTCCCGCCCAAATCCTTCTGTCTTTCTATACAGTTCTGTAATGCAAAAACCCTAAATGAAGCAAGTCTAGATTTTCCACAGAATCTCTCATCTCACAGGGCTCCTTTTCAATTTAAATATAGTTGTTTCATATATCAAAATTATATTTTAGATACGAAGCGTTAGTCTGAAAACCATCCAGAACCGTATTTAATATCAGTGTATCTAGGTACGTATTTCAAAGTCAAATTTATGGATTAAACGGTTGATTATAACAAAGTCGAACCAGAATCGATTATCATTTAACCGAACAGTCGATGATGTCAATGGAAATGCACTAACAGTCTTTATACATGAAACCGGCGACATTACCTTGCGATACTCTTCATCAATACTTATGGATAAGCAGGAAGATACACATGGCGGACAGCAGCTGAAACACCGCGCTCCTAACGGATATACAATGACCATATCGACCGTATGGGTAACACAGGGCACTTTTGTCTGAAGAGGCATCAATGGCCACATCTGAATTGTCTCTGGTCAATTCTTCATCATTATTTTCCGTACTGTGTTCGACAAGCGGCAATGACCATCTTCTAACTGGATATAGTTTTGTCCGATCCGATTGATCCTTAAATCCATAAGGATATATGAAATATAAACTGTTCCCACTGTCCTTTGGATTTGACTGTAATCCGAATTGAAAAAATAACTTTCTTAAACACACCATGGTTGTTGGGCTCTGCATGCTTCTGTATATGACCGAACAGACTTCACAACGCTTGCCGAGAGTTCGGTTAAATATGACCCGGACAAATATACCTCAGTTATATATCCCTGACCGATTTTACCTTGTCTGCGTGGGTAGTCGTGAGGTCATCGCACGCATTGGTCAAGCTGTTGTTAACGCCTGACCAATGACGCCTAGAGACCGTGATCGATTTCTTCCTTTCACCAAGCCAGGCGCTGTGTGGAGCTCGTTATGTCACCTTGTTTGTCGAGTTAGTCTTCCAAACTCCACATTACGCATTATGTAATACCTGTTATTGGCCACCAAGCCTGACGCATGCTTATTAGTGTGTGGTCATTCGCTCTCGGACCGTGTTGTTTTCGTTGGTTCTTAATTAGGGGGAATGACCACTGTGCAGGTAAACACGGAATTCGGTCAGTTACCTTGATCAGTACACAGACCGACATTTCTTGACTGGCCACCTGTGTACAATAATACTGAGTTATTACGGACTTTTAACCTTAAACATCGCATTGTTTGTTGTTCAACGACGCACTTAGCAATATTCCAGCTATATGACGGCGGTCTGTAAATAATCTAGTCTTGACCAGCCAATCCAGTGATTGACATCATGAACATCGATCTACGCAATTGAGATACAATGACATGCATCAACCAAGTCAGCGAGACTGACCACCCGATCCCGTTAGTCGCCTCTTACGAGAGCATAATCACCTTTTACGGCAAGCATGGGTTGCTGAACACCTATTCTAACCAGGATTTTCACGGGTCCAACTTGTCTTAAGACAGCTTCGATAGAACTGTTACAATGATGCACATATATTAGCAGGAAAACCGTTAATTCTTCTCCAACTTATCCACATCGCTCGGACTAGTGGCACGATCAGTTCCATTTGAAACGTTGTAAATGTTTCTCTCGTGTATTAATGTTTAGGACATTATAGCACATATTTTCTTTTCAAAATAAGCAAATGAGATATATTTTTCGTTTACAGACCACACAAAGCAGATGACTCGGGTGTACGTGTTGCTAAGCAACGTTTATTAAATAGAGCTACACAATACCATGATGATCGTTAGATACACTACTAAGGTCAGTGACCGAGGGCGCTGCGGAACGCCTACAGCGTTGGTCCAGAAACTGAAAGAAATAATCAATTAACTCCTATAATAATATATCAGTATATTTTGAATCAATTCATACACGGGGTGATTGAACTTGTGACCAATATAGACTATCACAACATATCGATTACGTGCTTTCGCCTCTTTGTCGATGTTACAAATGTGGAAGGTTTTTTTTTAGGGTCCATGTGAGTGAGTGAGTGAGTGAGTGAGTGAGTGAGTGGGTGGGTGGGTTGGTGGGTGAGTGAGTGAGTGAGTGAGTGAGTGAGTGAGTGAGTGAGTGGGTGGGTGAGTGAGTGAGTGAGTGAGTGAGTGAGTGAGTGAGTGAGTACCCGCTGAGATACCATGCCACAGTTTAACATGAACACCTCCCTCAGACACAGTATACTGACTCCGAGCCGACCAGTCCTTGTTTTAGGCTCACTGACTTGGCTGATGCACGTCATCTTCTCTCAAATGCGTGGATCTATTCTTATGATATCAATCACTTGATTATCAGGTCCAGACTCGATTATTTACAGACCGCCGTCATGTAGCTGGAATATTGCTGAGTTCGGCGCTTACCAAACAAAGAAACAAATATTAACGATTGCAATATCGCACCTGAACAAAATCCACAATATTTTTTGCAGGTGATGTGAGCCCTTAGCGCTTGGGAGGAGTCGGTACAGACTGATTTACCGCTAGCAGCACAGTCGGGGGCGAGGTCTCTGCAGCTTGGCAATGTCGCTTCTGTGTAGATAGATATATACATCAGAATAAAAACAAATATTTAAAAAGAAATACGTTATATTTACATAATATAAAAAAATTATAGACAAGAAAACAACAATAATAATATCGATAAAATATGACAAACTGTGTGTTAGTGAGTTAAATAGTCATTATATTCTGTATTATGTTACGTTAGTCATGATCTGCATTAGGTATATTATTTTGTCTTATGAATTTGAATTGATAAATACGCAATGATGATGATGATGATGATGATGATTATTAATATTATTGTTGTTGTTGTGTTTGTTATTACTGTATGTGTTTGTGGTACGTACGTGGGTGAGATGTTGTCGTTTGGTGGTCAACTGCATACAACTGCTCCGCTTAAACACAGACCATGAATGGAATACAGTATAATCGTTTGCTTACATGCATATACACTGTATTATAATAGGTAAAGACAAATAGGAAAATACGATTTTTAATGAAAATAGGCAACAACATTTTCAAAAGCTTTGACGGAATATTTGCCTTCTGCCGATTAGGTTTATTATAAATAATGTGTAAATATTAGCCAGGAAACAATAATTAATAAGGGATCATCCATTTCCGCTTGAAATGTGAGATGGAGGTCATATAGATATTCCTTTCATAGAGTGAGTGAGTGAGTTGGGTTAAACGCTGTTTTTAAGTGTTTTAAACTTTAAAGAGTCATAACTTACACAATTGCTGAAAATCATTCTTTTTATACTTTCTTTTTTTCGACTGCCCGCTATGCTGCTGGTTAAGGTTGGAGATGAGAAACACATAATAATACAGAGGACCTAATCATCTGTCTGTAAATGTATGTTACTGTTGGAGTTAGTGAGTTGGGTTTAAACGCCACTTTTAACAGTATTCCAGTTTTATCACGGCGTGTCAGCTTAATGTGGGAGGAAATCCCCAAGTGATGCAGGTATTAGACGTTTACCACCTCGGTGAAACCCACGGGTATGGCGCTGACAAACCTAGAAACATAATCGGGTCGAACCGGGATTCGAACCCACAATCTTAGGTTTCTGTCGTGTCCAGGAGACGCATCTCTGCTCAGCGAATCGCGGCGCATAATAATTAGACGACTGGGCCACCCGCGCCCCCTCTTTTCAAAGACGAGATAGTAAGACAATATATGCACACATTTTCTGGAAACTGAGTCAAAGGTTGGAGGGGTTGGTGGGGTGGTCTCGAGTTGAAAGTGTTCGCTCGGTACGGGTTCGATCCCCACATGTGTACAATGCGTGGAGTCAATTTCTGGTTTGCACCCTCCATGATATTGCTGGAACAATTTCAGGCCATTTTTAGCAATATTCCCGCAATATCATGGGGACCTGAAATCGCCATGAAATATTTCACCCTTGTTGGAAATCAAACCCATGCTCCGGCGCGACAGTCTGACACTGTAACCACAAGACCACCCACACTTCCCTTGATGAGTGATACATACGTGTACACTTGCGGCAGTAAAGTCGACAGTGCTCTTCTACCCAGTACTTGTACTGAGGGTCATTGCAGGTGGAGTCGTGGTCGAAGTCGTCACAGGTGGGAATCTTGTTCCTGCAGGAGGGCGCGGGGGTCGGTAGTCCTGGAAGGGGAATCAGAGAGTTGATATGTCGTGAATATATGCGTCCACCTACCCTTTTCCCCCGCACTCGCACGCACACGCATGCACGCACGCACACACACACACACACACACACACACACACACACACACACACACACACACACACACACACACACACACACACACACACACACACACACACACACACACACACACACACACACAGACTCTCTCTCTCACACACACACATACTCACACACACATACACACACACATATAGACTCTCTCACTCACTCACTCCTCACCTCGCGAGTCTGACTGGAGGATGAAGACTGCCAACACCCTTTTGGTATGTGGAGGGTATTCGGGACGGGAAGGAAATAAAATTGTATTTGGTACGCAGATTCAACATTTAAGAAAACACAATGTTGTAAATAAAGCATTTATATACTTTATTTTTTTAAATATTTCTTTAGTAATTTAACTTATAACAAGGTTACGTCAGGGGATTCAGGTGTTCGCAATGATTCAGGGAGGAATCCTCAGAATTCTAAACCATCCGATCCAAATTAATCGCCTCTCATAACAAGCAATATAATGCCTATCCTAACACGTTATTTCGCTCGAGTGAATGTAAATGTCATACTTTCAGATAACTACAGTATTTCATCACCCACTTCATAACAATACATATAGCCGGTACTTACCTTGGCAAAAGCCACACGTGTTATTGCAGTTGACCTTGGCCCACGGCTCATAGATACCACGACAGGAAGTGGCGTCATATAAGTGGCAGTCGGGTAGTCTATCTACACATGCTGCAACATGCGTGAGTGAATGTTGTCAGTCTTGTTTGACAACGGTATAAGGATCTATATTGTAATGTCGCCTTTTCAGTATTAAAGAAGTTGTTATCCATAAATTGTTTCTACTTTGTCATCCGTCAACTTCTGAGTAATGACTCTCAAACAATTCGCGCGAGTGAATGTTGTTTTATTCCGCAGTCAGCACTCTTCCACAGCAGTCTGTGTTAGAGACTTATTATGGGGGTGGTGGGTCGGTGAGATTAAGGGATAGGTCATGTAAAAATGACAACGCGGGGAAGGGTCGCCAACATTTATTACCACAAATATACTTGGCAAAATAGTAGGGGTTAGTAGGAATCATCGAGACATATCTTCTGACATACCTTGAGCGTCGTTTACAAGATCAGAATAGTGACAGTGTTTTCCAATCAGCAACCCTGAAACGGTTACCACCGGGTGTTCCCAACGACGGGCTGTAGAGTACGACTGATAACGTCAAAAGTGCTGTCTATCTCGTTTCAGTGGGATACACATTTTGTAAAGCGACTTTGCATAGCCCGGGGGAAGTACTGCCATACAATCTCGGCTTTCCAGTATGTTCCTCTGTTTAGTTTTTTAATTTTTAATCGAGAACTGTGTCAAAACACTTTTCCAAGCGTGGTCTGGAAAGGAAGTCGCCAGCTTGAAATAGCTAGAAACGCTGCTTTCTGAATGGCTAAGTACATGTATGTCGAATTCTTGCTCGTCATTTCATTGGTCGGTCAAAAAGGTCGTTCTGAGGGGAACCGTAATTAATGAGATTACGGACGTGAAATGTACGGACGGTGAAAATGCTGGCGCGGTGCCGACAGCTTACCTCGATCTTTGAGGTGCGGCAACTTCAGCTCAGTCCGTCGGCCCCTTACTGCCAGAACGTTGCGTTCACAAGTGCATAAGCGTCTCCTTACATTTCATCAAGTTTTTCTTTATTTTTGATGGCTTGGTCACGTTGGGTCTATAAAGGGAAGTAACTCGTTTCGCGCCTACGTTATTCCAAACTGTCCGGTAGTGAGTTTTGCACGTGTATTCTGCCCCGGGGGTAGATCACAATGATATATATATATATATACATTAACAGTAGCATGTATAAGACTCAATATCTTTTACCGTGATACTAAAACACTTAGAGGCTGACAATTCACAAATAACTTTTGTTTGTAAATCAGAAACATATATTTTGAAATTATAGGGTCAATGGATAGTTGAAGTGAACTTGAAGTTGTATCAAACATGACATATTCCTGTATATTCTTAAAACACTATCGATAGCTTAACCACGCCACAATGTAGGTTTGAGATAGGACTGACAGTGTACCAGATAACCCGATTCTACAGATAATATAAGAACGGGAACACGACATATGGCTTTCTAGTTTAACAAGAGCATATTCAGAGCACATCATCGTAGAAAATACAAAGTAAACACTTACTGGGATCAAAGGTGGCCTTGGAGGTCACAACGAAAACAAACAGCGACAGCAAAACAAGCATTTTGATACAGGAGGAACTCGCACACGACGCTTAAGTGAAACCCGGATGTTAAGTCACGTGACTCTCTGATTTGAGAGATATGTCCTTTTAAAAAATGGCTCGTGAAGTAAATGTCGGACAACAATGTGTTGATATTGGTATTACAGATCAAAAAGTTTTTTACATAAACATCAATTAGTTGATTGAATTTTTATCAAGCTGTTAGATGTGTGAGTGAGAAAGTATGTTTTTACCCGCTTTTAGCAATGTTTCAACAATATCACGGCGGGGGACACGGGTAATGGGCTTCACACCCATATAGTGAATGGACCCCGCGTATTTATGGTGATGAGCGAATTCTTATATTTTACCTCCAGGCTACCCCACTGCCTTCAAATGTTATTTTGCTTGTTTGGTTTTTAACACCGCACAAATCAATATTCCAGCTATTTGACAGCGGTCTGTAAATAATCGAGGCTATCCAGTGGTTGACATAATGAGCATCGCAACTGGGTCAAATGTTAATTAGTACGTTAGATTACACTGTTTTAATGTTATATCATGCTAAATCTTTGATGGAAGATTTTAAGTTATAATTTAGATATAAAGAACTGTACATAAGAATACATTTTGATCTAACCCTGTGTAATAAAGTATAGTTTTGCCCTGAACTGTTACTGTTAAAGCATTATGGTTTTGTTTGACTGTAGCATATTGTGAAATGCCCTAGCTGAGCAACAGGAGGACATGTGGTTATGAAACGTTACAATGATTGCTCATTCCTGTGTCAAGGGAGAGTGACAATTCCGAGGGCACCAACGCCCGCCTCGGGCAGCATCTTGGCTGCGGAGGCACGGTTGGTTGGTTTGTTGGTTGGTTGGTTAACGCCGCACTCAGCAATATTCCAGCTATATGACGGCGGTCTGTAAATAATCGAGTCTGGACAATCCAGTGATTAATATCATGAGCATCGATCCACGCAATTGGGATCGATGACCAAGTCAGCGAGCCTGACCACCCGATCCCGTTAGTCGCCTCTTACGACAAGCACAGTCACCTTTTACAGCAAGCATGAGTAGCTGGGGCAAGGACACAGTGGTTTTAATAATGTTTGGGAAAACCCCGCGGCATGATAACTGTTGACTTCATCTTTCCATATTTCTTGCCAGGGAATAATCTTAATTTATTCGACAATTTTAAAGAAACTATTTTACCGATCGATAATTGATGTGGTGCGCCATCTTGATTGACAGTGAGGACGATGTTATCAAGGATACGTTAGGTCACTGGGGAGGTAATTTGAACGGTGTCATGACGTCAATCCACTATGACACAACTCAAAAAGTGTACTATTTAGCGGGATAAAGTACAGTCGGCGCCTTTGACCCTTCAACGAAGAATCTTAGAATATACGAGAATATATGTTTGACATCACCTTGCCATGTCTTCCAAGAGAATAATATTCATTTATTCGTGGAATATGTCACCGTATGTGCAGTTTATGTTTTGTTTGCTGTTACACACAAAGGGAATGGTGGCCCAATCGCCTAAGGCCCTGCATTTTGCCCTGCAGAGTTGCATCCCTTGACTACGCTAGAAAGTTAGAAACGCTGGGATTATGTTGCTAGGATTGTCAGTACTATACCTGTGGGTTTCATCAAAGTTGTAAACGCCTAAGGCCTGCATTACTCACTCACTCACTCACTCACTCACTCACACAGAACACAAGAGTCCAAATAGAAACTAGCATACCAAGTCTGTATATCATGGAACATCATCTCCACGAAAACATAACGAAAGGAATGAGTGAAAAGTTGTGTTGGCCGCTTTGAACAGCTTTGCCATTATGTCCACACTCTGTTTCAGTTAGTTGTAGGTGGAAAGCCTGAAGTGGTGCAAGACTTTGACCTTTACGTCTTTGGATACAACCAGGAGCACGGGTCTTTGACTAGGACACGTCCAATCTAGGACTTCTTCATATACATTGACAACACTGGGGTCAAATATGGACAGTTTTAATTCAGATAGTTTGAAAAGCTTCTTTGGACATAAGGCTGCCCAGAGCCATCTGATACATAGGGACCGACCATTTGATATTCTGGACGGGTAGGGGGGCTGATATTATATATCCAGATAAGATATGTTCTTAGCTACAGCTGCAAAACCAGGTATTTTTCATTTTAAACGTTGGGCCCGAAAGCTTTTCTTTAAGAAAAACACCTTGCAAAGATGTAATTTTTGTGGAAGGCAATTTCTTTTTTAAACAGTCTGCGCCACTACACGCGTCCGCGTTCGCTTTTGTTTATTCCAACTTTTGGTTGAGCCGACACTTCCGGTTCGTCTGTCGATGTTATGGTTGCAGAATAAAGTGCATTGAGTTGAGACTGCGGTGTTGACTAACCCTTGGCGCTGAAGCATAATTATTACCATCAAGAATTTTCGGGACAATTTCTTATTGTTGATAAATCTGGGTGCTGGGTACCTGTATAACGGGGATCAACGGGTAATAATACATATTGTATATTTCAATGCAACATTAATGGTTATTTAATTGTATGTGAAAAGGTCACTGGTAATGTGCCAATACAAGGCCAACTATCTTGTTTCATTCCGTGACGTCGCTATCGCCCCGTCACGACAGAGACTCGAATCCACTTGTCGGGACTCCAACACGGGCCAGTTGTTTCAAAGGCTATCTCGACATCGTGACTCTGTATCTTGGTTAAAGCGACCTCCCGGAGATCAGGGCCAAAAAGTTGAACTTAAGCTTCAGGTACATCGATGATCTGATATCGTTTAATAACAATCAAATAGCCAATTCCCGCGGCCGTCCACTGATTTACCCACCTGAACTAGAGTGAGTGAATGAGTGTGGCTTTACACCGCTTTTAGCAATATTCCAGCAATATCACGGTGGGGGACACCAGAAATGGGCTTCACACATTGTACTCATTCGGGAATACCTGAACTAGAAATAAAGTGACAAAAGACTAGTGACAAAAGACTCTCCACAAGACTGTATGACAAGAGGGGTGACTTCAACTGTCAACTGTTCGAATCACCAAAGTAGCAAACGTCTGGGACATGCATAACTTCAGGCGTTCCTATCACATAAAGCTGACATGCTGAGACAAACCAGTGGTTGATAGTATGAACACCCGTCCTCGCCGGGGTGCGATTGTACAAAAAGAATAAACTAATTACTGAGGGTGATGTTATTCACATTTTGTTAATAATGTTATCAACCATTGTGAAGACCGAAGTCCCATTTAAAGGCCCTTTCGACATGCATAAACTGGGGCCTCTCACCTTCGATGTTCCCTCTAATTGCTCGTCCTTTTGTGGAGAGACCTGTGAAGCTTCAGGTTAGGAGAGATCTTCAGCAACTATGCTTGCCGTCAGAGGCGACTGACGGAAACGGGTGGTCAGGCTTGCTGACTTGGTTAATACATGTCATCGTATCCCAATTGCTTAGACCGATGCTCATGATGTCAACCACTGGATTGTCTGGCCCAGACTCGATTATTTACAGACCGCCGTAATATAGCTGGAATATTACTGAGTATGGCGTTAAACAACAAACAAATAAACAAACGAACACTTTATGGAGAAATATTGATGCTGATGCGACGTCATATTTTAATTCACTCACTCACTGACTCGTAATAATAGGACGAAAGTAGTGAGGGTGTGAGCTGGGTTCAAAGCCGACATCTCGTTATACAGATCTTATATAGGGGAGGCGAAATCTGGCTACCCCACTATTAGACGTTTGGTGAAACCCTTGCGCATAGGTATGACGAAGACAAGAACGGAAACATTGCAGGTCGAATCTACAATTTGAACCCACGTTCATACGTTTCTGACATGCAGCGAATGCGACGCCTTGGACGACTGGCCAGTCGTGATCCATGGGACCTCCCCACACTCCACCCCATACCCCCCGAGCACGTATTGCCCCAACTGTTTCTAATACAGACGAAACAGTCACCATGTTGCGTCTGACAAGCTACCAGGCCGAGAAAAGGATCAAGTCTGATCTACATTGTATTGTACGGAAGTTGACACGCAACCCTTGGTGATCTTTTGTATGTTGAGTGATAATGGCTTCAGGCTGGTTATGCGGACGATATCTGAAAGCAGCTGAAAGGTAGGTACAAAGATATATTCAATATGTAGATTTAAATAAAAGCATTCATATGAATATAGATTATGGAATACTGGAGTTTTAAAAAACTTTTATTGTTGAAAGCTAATGAGGCTCACATGTGTGTATTTTCCTTCCTTTATAATGTGGCATGGTACACAGCTCTTTGGGCCCTCGTGGCGTCATGTCCGATGAGAGATATCGTATAGGATAAACCGCGCTGTTGACTGCATACACTGCATAAACAAAAACAAAAACAACCCAAAACAAACGCATAGTGGTTTTCAAAAGAGTTTTGAACTTCTACAAGGCATTAAAAGCAATTAGTAGGATATGTTTGCGTTTGGAAGATCACAGAGTGAAACGTTAACGACGACGAGGTCTTTGCACGTCCTGGTTACGTGTCTATGTCAAGCATGGCATTAGTAAAACCTGGTAACGCGTGTGTCCACCACTGCCTTGATTAATGGCACCTCCTGCACATGGTACCAGGAAGCCTGTGGATAAAACCTTGTGAAATGGCTGCCAATGCGTCCTGAAATGTTTGGCGCAATTGCTGTAAATTGCGTGGCTCCATTTTGTGACATGTAGACTTTTATTTCCTTGGGTGGGTGGTTGATTGAGTAGGTGGGTGAGTGGGCGATAGGGCGAGTGGTTGAGTGGGCGAGTAGGTGAGTGGGCGAGTGGGTAGGTTAGTGAATGTAACACCGCTTTGCACAGTATATCAGTTACATGACGTCATGATCAGAATTATATTATCATGTGTTTATTAGAAATTACGTTAGTCACGGGTAATGACTTTCTTTGCATGCAAGAGCAGAAAATAAATGCAGGCGTGTGAATTATATAGCTATTCGAAACAGAAGCCTTATAATATAAACACCATTACGCGAACTGTATTGTGATACAATGCTTCGAATAAATAGCGGGTATGTTTATATTGATAAGGAAAAAAGTACTTTCTATAAGTAATAGCATCAGCTATGATGCGACGGTAAAATGCGCGGAGGTAGTTAATTGCTATTTTAAATCCTCTTATTGAGCAATCAGAATCCAAATATATTTTTCAAATTCATGGTAGAATTAAATAATACTTTTATTGTTAAAGTTAAATCCGGACATAAGGAGTTCGCTATATACATGTACACATTCAATACAACATCAAATTTAAAACATAATTTCACAAAAGTTGCAAACATACTCTTTTGGCAGTGATAAGTATATAAAGGTTTATAGTCAAAAACATTATTTATTTATACAGGTTCATTTTCATAGCAGTAGCCCTGACTGAGCTCGCCTTTATATTGATGTTGGTGAAAGCATTCAGTGACGGATTTACGAGACAAGAACAAGCAGTTGAGGCATTTTTTCCAAATGCACAAATAAATCTCTCTTTGAGATCAGCAAGTGTAAGAGATGCACCAATTACAAAACACATCCCTCCACAGACTGATAGTGAAACGACACCTTCATCTGGCGACACCAGTCCGGAAGTCCAACATGTGTTCTTCCTGAAGGTTCACAAGGCTGCGAGCTCCACCATACTGAACATTCTCTACAGATTCGGCTACACCAGATCCAAGAACTTCGCTCTACCGCGAAAGGGAAATTACATAGAGCTAGTGGATCACAGTAATGTTATACCAATACCACCAAATAACTCTTACGATATTCTATGCAATCACCTCCTGGTGTTCTCCCATGCCAAGATATCCCAGATAATGCCAAAAGACACTGTGCACATCGCTATCGTCAGAGAACCTTTCGAAAGACTTCATTCAGCTTTCGAATACTATCGCAATCAACTCGGTCGTGGGTATCTGATGAAAGCGAAGGGAGATGATCCTTTCAGAACATACATCCAAAACCCGATGTTCTTCGAACCTCCTGATGCCCTGAAATCCTTCACCAACAACCGGATGACTTTAGATTTCGGCTATCCACCTGGTAATATCAACGTCGCTAGAACGATACAGGGATTCCTTGACCATCTTGATTCGATATTCGACTTGGTGTTAGTTAGTGATGTGTTTGATGAATCTGTTATCCTCCTACGACGAAGATTGAATTGGTCAATGAAAGACGTATTGTACATGGCCAAAAATAGACATGGATCATCCTTAAACATTCCATTGCGGCGTTACAACAGAAGCGTGGTTGATTCTAACATTCTCAGACTCGACAGAATTGTGTACGATCATTTCCTCGGAAAATTGAAAAAGGAAATCTTGAACGCGGGAGAAATATTTAAAGAGGAGGTGGCTTATTTTCAAACAGTCCGTGACCATACGCTCAAGTACTGCTCCAGAATAGCCCCTGCCGAGAACCTTAAGGTCCAGGCATCGAAGTTTCACAGCAGTTTTGAAATTTCCAACAAGGACTGTTGGCTCCTTGCTCAAGAGGAAAATCCTTTTCTAGAATTATTACGAAATGTTCAAATAGATAAATTAGAGAATTTGGGATTGCATTTCCAGGAACCTCCTAAATTATATAATGCCAAGAAGATGAAGATGTTTCAGAAAAGAGCATAATAATCACATAATTTTTAATGTCATCTCCGTGGCGATTCCGGGTTAGGATTGATCCCCAGCAACAGCGTGCTTGTCGGAATAGATTGATTGCTCGGTGACCTGGTTGATTGCTCGGTGACCTGGTTGATTGCTCGGTGACTTGGTTGATTGCTCGGTGACTTGGTTGATTGCTCGGTGACTTGGTTGATTGCTCGGTGACCTGGTTGATTGCTCGATGACTTGGTTGATTGCTCGGTGACATGGTTGATTGCTCGGTGACTTGGTAGATTGCGTGTTATCATAGCAGGACGGCGTGGGACGTTGCTCTTAATATCAATCATTGGATTGTAGGTCCAGACTCGTAAGTGAAGGTCGTCGTGATGTAGTTGGAATAGTGCTGTCTGCGGCATGGAACAACAAACAGAAAAATCTTCCGAATTCCTTCTTGTTATTTATGTTAATACCTGTTCAGTGTCTTATCATACCAATTTAGGAAACATAACAAAAAGACTGTCTGTGGTGTACTTCCTTCAAGCGAAACTTTTGGAAATCAAAGTTTTAGGAAAACTACCAAACACAAATATGTTAAAAGAATAATTTCAATCGGATATATTGTGTCAACATTCAGATTTTATTATTGCCAAATTTAGGCCACAGCAGAAAGTAATTCTAATACTATCATTTGAACGGTATTATAGAAGCACAACAAAACATTAATACAAACTAGAACAAAGTTAAGTGACCTCAGCCTAATGCACTTTCTTTGCTGTCGGCAGGGAGGACATGCTCGTTTAACGGACACCGGGTGTCATGTTAATTTTACAATGATTTTGGAATGTAGAGTAAGAATAATAATGATTGATTGAAAAATAAAAACTATACATTATGGCATTTGCTTCTAAATGTTGGAAAATCTATTTTCCAAGGTATTATAGTTCCATGTTATTATACATATCCTGGACCAATTCGACACTAGAGCGTCACGCCGAAGACACGGTTTCGATTCCCCACATGGGTACAATGTGTGAAGCCCATTTCTGGTGTCCCCCGCCGTGATATTGCTGGAATATTGCTAAAAGCGGCGTAAAACCATACTCACTCACTCATTCCTGGTGTCCCCCTCCGTGATATTGTATTGCTGGACTATTGCTAAACGCGGCGTAAAACTATACCCACTCACTCACCACTACAGTACTTTGTTTTGCTAGATTTAAATGACACGACGCCTTCTTTTCGTTTTTGTTGCCTGGTGCATGGGTGAGTGAGTGAGTTGGGTTTAACGTCACTTTAACAGTATTGCAGTTATATCACGGCATGTCAGCTTAATGTTGGAAAAAAGTCCGAAGTGATGCAGGTGTTAGACGTTTACCCCTTCAGTGAAACCAACGAGCACGGGTATGGTGCTGACAAACCTAGAAACATAATCGCTGCGAACCAGGATTCGAACCCACGATCATAGGTTTCTGGCGTGCCCAAGGGACGCAACTCTGCACAGCGAATCACGGCGCCTTAGAGGACTAGGTCACCCTGCCTGGTGCATGGAAAACCACATCTCGTGTCAATGAACCGCGTCTGTGCCCTTACTGGGCACGCGAGTGACACCACGAGTGTTCCTCCTGAACATACGTGTCTCTCCCGACCACGGAAAGCATGACCAACTTGAAAGACGCGTCTATTATTAATACAGCTCATTAAGATGTTTAATGCTACTCACTAGCAGTCCACTCGTAAACAGGTATAAAAGTTGTTAGTCAAGTAGTATATATATGGTGATTGGCATGCGCGTTTGTTGGGAAAATAGTATTAGCATGTTCCTAAATTTTCTTGACAATGTGACGGAAGGCCAGAGGTTCTGGAAATCTGTTAGAACGTTCTGGAAGCTACATTTGTGAATGTAGATGGTGGGATTTCGGTTAAATGAGATTTTAAAATTCACGTTCACGATTCTACCACCCTGGTGTTTTCTGTCGTAGTTCATCCATTCTGTCGGAGTAATCGGATGGTATGTAATATTTTCACACCTTGACCTTGAGGTTCAAGGGGGGGGGTCAAGGTTAGTATAGTTGGTTGGTTGGTTGGTTGTTTAACGCTGCACTCAGCAATATTCCAGCTATATGACGGCGGTCTGTAAATAATCGAGTCTGGACCAGACAATCCAGTGATTAATATCACGAGCATCGACCCACGCAATTGGGATCAATGACATGTATCAAGGTTAGTAACTATTGTACACACTGGAAGAGAAGATCAACTTTCACTTTTCATGTGTTTGAACACATGTACACGTGCGAGTGAATACTTTGACATGTGCAACTTCTTCTGTAAGGAGGAGGTGGGTAGCCTTGTGGTTAAAGCGTTCGCTCGTCACGCAAACGACTCGGCGTGATACTGCTGGAATATTTCTACAAGCGGCGTAAAGCCATACCCACTCATTCACTGTATTGTAAGACATCCACGAATATTTCACTGTGTCTGAGTAGGGTATCCATGTTAAACTGCGGCATAGTATCTCGGTAGGCTAGCACTATAAACCCGGCTAGTACACACGCACGCACGCACGCACGCACGCACGCACGCACGCACGCACGCACACACACACGCGCGCGCACACACGTCGCTGTTTAAGTGAATACTAACGCAACGTTAACCTTATTTCACCTCGCCTCATACTTTCGGTACATACTTATTCGGGGTTATCTTTCGATTAAATCTCTGGGTTGGTTAAGTCATGACCCTTGTCACACGATCACTTGATGCATGAAGAACGGGTCCTCTGTATTGTCTACAGGTCATCGAGACGTTTCAGATTATCTACATTTAAAATAGGCTGGTGTGCGTGTGCGTGTGTGTGTGTGTGTGTGTGCGCGTGGTAAAAAATCCAATAACCCGGTCGGTGCAGAAGAGACAAATATATAACTTTATTCATGACTACTTAGGTAAAATGATTTCGTGCGTAAGGAAAACCTGGCAACAACTCCATGGCCGCTTTGGAAATACACAGGCATGTCACGAACACCTGAACACAGCGCAGTTTGAGAGCAATTCGCTTGTAATGGCTCAGACTATACACAAATGTCATGAGTACAAATCATCTTGCTACCTGGAACTGAAGGTACTTACAAATCTACACTCACATTTGAAAGGTATCGTTTGAACAAGAAACGCACTGTGCCTGCAAATTGTATTTCATGTTTGCCTTTAAAGGTCGCAGTCTGTTGTAAAATTGCTAATATGTACTCAAAATAATGAAAAACACATTTCCATTTTCCTCTGATTTCGTCGAATTCACCGAATCATTTGTATAATAAGAACAGAAAAATACTGATGATATAATTATTGATATTGTCTATAAGCAGTCATCTGTGTTATCAACTCAGTGAACTGAGTACTGTGTTTGGTACGTCTACCTGATCAAGACTAGGAATACTCGGGCTCCTTGTCGGGATTCATATACACAGGGAAAATGTTAAGCACCAACCCTTCTATAGTTTCACCTATTCCGAACGTACCTGTATCTTTCAAAATATGTCATTTACTGCATTTTGATAAATGTCCAATATACTATCGAGACCTAATTAAATTTTGGTACAGTCTCGCCGAAAGTGTTGCCGAATGGTCGCAAGTTCGCATATCAGATGTTACAAAGAACTGGAGGAAGCAATTTAAAGAGTATAAAGTCAAAAACAATATTGACATTTTTTGACGTTTTTGTTGTATTTTCAGTACGAGCGTATCGCTTTCAAAACAGAAAACTCCAGCCATGATTGGTCCGAAAATTCATACAGGACACGAATTGTTTTAAATTATTTTTAGCGAGCTTGAGACAATATGAAAATAACTTCCAGGGACCCCCTTCTCTCTGATGGATGTTTCGAAACACGTGGAATGTGACGGTACGTGGATATTGAAGACGTTTTTCAGACTGTTAGAGGCATCCATACATGTATTTGTAAAAGACACACTGGTCACCTCTATTGTATTTCATGGTGTTTTGGTGTTTACGTTTTGATTGCGCATTAACTGTGTTTTTTTCACTTTGCATTTGAAAGGAGTTCGTTCATTCAAATGAAATGAAATGAAATTAAGTTTAAGTCGTGCTTGCATATAATCCGATTTAAAGCCCCGGGCTTAATGTTGAATGAAATATTTGCTACTGAAGGTGATTAAACCTGATTGTAGGCCATGGCCACGGGCGTGAATAAGTGCACTCTCAGTACGTTATATAAATACAACGTAACATAGTTCCCATTGTATTTAAATCAAATCAAATCAAATTCTCTGACTATTGCCGCAGCCAGAAACAAATATCTTTCAGTTATCTTGTTTGCATTATGTAAACAATAACCAGTTGGGATAAGATCAAGCAGATGTAAGCAAAAATAGATTTATGTCGTATTTAGATATAACACAAGTAAAGTCAACAGGTCGATGACGAATAATCAACAGTTACCGACTCGCGTGTTCATGTGGACAATGCCCTGTATTCTCCATACACAAACTGGAATGGGGGTAATGAGCCTCCTTGACGCAGGCAAATCGCTAATGATGTACAGGAACCAACTAACACTCACTGTTCAAATTGTATCTTGTCATCATTAACAATAGATAATAATAATAACAACAGTAACGTAGTATTTGACGAATCTGATTAGGACAAGCTGAGAATAGCAAATGAAGATGTATTAGGGTCTTTTGTTGCTTGGTTCAGTCCGAGTGAGTGAGTGAGTTTGATTTTACGCCGCTTTTAGCAATATTCCAGCAATATCACGGCGGGGGACACCAGAAATGGGCTTCACACATTGTACCCATGGCAGGAATCGAACCCGGGTCTTCGGCGTGACGAGCGAACGCTTTAACCACTAGGCTACCCGACCGCCCCGTATCAGTCAAAGTCGGATGGACATGGTCACTATTTGTTGAGATGAAAATAATAGTATGCTATCTTAGAATCGAAAAAGTGTGCATGGTGAAATGTTAATGGGTGACTGTGTTAGAGTTGATGCCACTTTTAGAAGTATTCCAGTTACAGTAAACTACGGTTATAACGAACTCAATGGGAGCAATAAATTTAGGTCGTAATAACCGTAGTTCGTTAGAAGCACATATACAGCATATATACAGCAAATGGACAAGACCTCAAAACAGTTC